CCCCAAAACCCCAAAACCCCAAAACCCCATAAAGCATAATAAATATATTTGAAAATCGCAATCAATTTATAAAAATTTTCATAACATAAGCTTGATAAATATCAATTTGTTTATCATAAATTTCTATGAGTTTTTGCCTCAGTTGGTCTATTATTTAAAGGCTTTAATAATCCAGAACTAAATCTCGCAGTTTTTAACTTAAGAAAATTTGGAAAATCTCTTATACCCTATACCTTACTCTTTTAGTAGTCTTAATCCTCGTGATAGCTTTCATCTTCCTCATCATTATCACTATCTTTATCCTCATTAAGAGTTGATAGAAATCTCTCATGGTACATTTACTTGTACATCTTTATATCATCAGATATTTTAACAGGTTTAAATTTTTCTACTTTTTAGTTGAACTTGACATTGTAGAGGATTCTCTCTGAGTTAACAGAGTCCATCTTCTTCATCTCTTTTCTAATTTCCTTCATTTAATCCTTGCTTGGAAACACCTAATAAGAGAATTCAGATAGAATCTACTTTTAAGCTTCATCTAATTGAGCATTAAGCTATTTCTGTATATTTTCTCTGCGTTTAATTAATCTATCTGAATTTCTCTTGTCCTCCTCTTATACAATTTTAGAATGAGAAAGGAAGAATGCTATTTTTTTCTAATCATTTTCAAATGTTCTGGAGGCCTCATTGTTTTTAATTTGAGATTTAGAAACCTATGACTTTGAGGCATCTGCATTATTCTTCTCAGCTTGTATTTAAAATTTATTCATGTACTCTTCGACTAACTTTTTCGGATAGCAAGGCTGTACTTTTAATCTAAGATTATAGTTCATCATTTTATTATATTTTAAGTTGTTTAAAGATTTAGTTCTAGGCATGAAATTTTTCTTTGGTTTTAAAGCTTTGTTCTTTATCAATTAAGAATCGTCTGATTCATCTTCGTCATCTTCCATGACAATGAATTTTTGTAGCTTTTATATATCAATTTTTTACTCTTCTTAATCTGAGGAAGATGAAGATTCCTCTTGAAAGTTTTATTTTGCAATAATTTATTTTGTTTCTAAGCTAATATCTCAAGCCTTATTTCTTTTTTTTGCTTCAGTCTACCTTCCTTCAGATTATTTAGATTTAGAATTTTCAGTTGTATTCCTCTGAATTATTTGAATATTAATCCTTGGCTCTTCTTGTCTTTGAGTAAACTAGGACAAATTTGAGCTTTGGTTTATTTCAGATGCATCTATAGGCTGAGTATTTGTTTATGATTAGCTGTCATTTTATTAAATCTGAATCGTCTTCATTTCTTTAAGTTATTAGTTTCTCTCTCTTAGTTTTCTGATGAGTTTATAAAATTCTCCTTTTTTCTTCACTCCTTCATCCTGATCATCTTGTTAGTTTAAAACCTCTTCTTCAAATTATTAAGCAGTAATAAAGGTTTTGTTATCTTCAACAGCAGTCTCCTATGGATCTGAATCTGACCATTGAATTTCACCTTGAAATATAGACTTTCTACTATCTCTCTTTGCATTGTTATCATTACTCGTATCCCTCTTTAAATTTGCAAGATTAAATAGATAACTAAGATCTGGTTGCCTTTATTTTTACTATCTCATCATGCTATTTTATGGTTGATTTTGGAACTAGGATAAATTCATGTTAGGCTTAATCAAATCAAAGGCATAATTATTTCGCTTGTATTTTGTGAATTAGTCTTGTTTGAAATCTTTGTTAATAAAGATTGCAGGATCTGGGCATTGATCTTCAAATATATCAGTTTGATTGTAATTTGTTAGTTTTTCTAATCTTTTCTAAGTCTATTACTTATTGGTTTAAACCTTTCCAAGATATTCAGATGACTTAGATTTTTGCATCTTCATCTTATTTTTAATTTCACTCTCAAGTTCTGAAGGCTTTACTCTCTAGTAGGACTTTTTGAAGGTTATCAATTGTTCTTTAAGACGCATTGCCATTTTATTTTTAATAAGATTTTGTATGTATTTTATTCTCTTATATTCACTATTTGGATCGAGTACTAAAGTGTAAATTTTTCGAGCAAGTGTTTCCGGATTTTCAGTTCTATCTCTATAAAATCTCAAACTTTAAGAAAATCTAGGCTTGCCCATGACTTACTTTAGTTTTCTCTAAAACAGATCGTCATTTAGACTAACAGTTTACAGAAGCACATCTTTTAAGCTATCTCTTAGGAATTTGGATTAGTTATTAACCAAATCTTAGTCCATAGGATGCAATACTTTTTATTGTCTTATCAATTTAGGGAGGTTTGATCTTTGGCCAAGGTTATCTTAAGAAAGAGTTCAAATTAATTATTATTCATTATATTAAAGGATATCTAGAGGAACTTCTCTTATTTACATCTTTTACGCATTCAATTCCATTTAATTAATTTGATAAGATAAAATATAATTTTATTGCTTTAGAGATGACATGATCAATAGGGGTTTTGGGGTTTTGGGGTTTTGGGG